AGGAAGAAGACCTTTTTGGGATCGTGCTCATGATACTGAGCTGATTATTGATATTTGTGATGGCTTACGTCCTCCAACAGATGATATTGTAGCACCTGAAGATTATATTGAGCTAATGAAAGAATGCTGGGACCCTGATCCAAATAAAAGGCCAATTGCTCATGACACCAGTTTTAAAGTTCAAATAATTCAAAATCTTGAAAAAAGTAATCCAACCGATATTGTAGAATCATCAGAAATTGGACCTATAACAACAAACAATCCCGGTGCTTTTTATAAGAGTAGATCTTTAAGTAGCATGATAAACTCTGCAGAATCCACAAGAAGATTACGAAGTCAATCAATTTCTTCAGATTTTGGTAATTAATAATTAAAATATTTATTTTACAACCAGTTAAATAACACATTTTGAATATGCTAAAAATATTGATAATCTTTTCTTTTTTTAAAAAAAATAAAGGTATACGAAAGTTTGAAAGCGAAAAATTTGAAGGTAATGAAAATATCAATAAATTTATACGATTCAAAAATCACAAAAATCAATATTTATTAATCAATTGAATGTATTGTATGTATGATTTTATAGATAACGGCAGTAAAAAAATCAAATCATTGGAAGATGAATCTTATAAAACAAGAACATTGGAATATGATATTTAGTATGGATTTTATAAATAAAAATACATATGAAAGTATGAAATTCTAGTATTCTTTTTTTTTTTCTTAGTTATTTTAACGAAAAATAGTAGTAAAAAAAGATTTTTTTTTTAATTAAAAATATGCCTCTATGGAAAAGATCTTATCCATCTTATCCTTAAACAACAAAAAGAAGTTTAATTTGCTGATACAGAATCGATTTTTTTTTTATCCACGCATCATCTCTATAGAAAATAATAAAATTCTTATGAATGCACGTTTACACTTTTGCTCTTTTGGATTTGAAAGGAGAAATGAATGAAGATTAATGTTAAAACTCACATTAAAAACAAAAAAATTCACGAAACCAGGACGTTATTATGATAAATAATGAAATTGGATGATAATGTTAATTTAACGTAAGAAATAAAGTTGCAAACTTTTTAAGTCCAATCATTTTGTAATGACGAACGATTGAATTTAATTAGTTAAATTTGCGGTGAGGTTCGTAATTAGTGTTAATAGTAGTTATTCTAAATATTTATTGCGTCTATTCTTAATTTATTTTACCAATCGTCGCCAACTCTTTGAATAACTCTAATTCGTGAGTCAAATCAAAAGTTATTTTATCTCAACCTCGATTAATAGTCAGATTATTTATGGAATTTGCAGTATTAATAAAACCAAAATACTCAAATTATCATCTCAAAAACGGTTTCGAATCTCGAAAAAACGCTCAAAGACATTACAAACAATAGTGATGAAGAGCGAGAATCAAAATAGTCAAAGCTCTATAATTACCTCAATCTCACGAGGTCATACTCTTATGAGCTTCGTTTGTGACTTTTTCAGAAAGATGATATGAGCTCACTTGTTATACACAAACCAAGCCTCTGTTTTATGGAGTTGGAAAGAATTGAGTAAATCAGCCATGACATACCATACCTTACACAAAATGTGAGGATGATTTAGAATGCATTATGGATACTACCTTGAGGGAGTTGTTAATAAAACGTTTATACCATCAATTTACCTCTTTATTTTTGGTGGAACAGATATCACAAAATTCACGTGTTTATCACCTGGAACTAAAAAAAAACGCACTGTGGAAAATGAAGTGTATAACGCAGTTGGAACTAGAATTCTTCAACAAATTCAAAAATAAAATTGAATATTACTAAATATGAAGCGTCATAATTACCTTTTAACTCCGGTTTTGTTGTATGCTTACAAAAAATTTTAACTTCTGGCCACATTTATAGTGCCGGTCCAAGTTAATTTTAACCGGTTAATTAACCGAATAAAGATACACTTCAAAATACAATTAATTTCTTATAGAGTCTGATTTCCAAAAGTATGGGAAAAATCACCAAATGAATTTTTTTCTTTTTCAAAATTCACAGAATATTTATTTAGATTTATCCAACTGGAATAAATGTTTTATGCTTATGCCGATGTAGGTCCTTTGAATATAAAAAAGAAGGGATCTTGAGGGAATTGACCCAAAACGGGTAGATGTTATCTATAATAAAAGAAAATGTTGAAGATAACAAAACAAAAATACCAAGAGTGTAATGAAAAGATTCAATTTTGATTTTTATCTAGTATGAATTATTAGTATGGATCATACTTGGATCCAAGAAAACTCATTTTCTAATTTTCTTTTGCTGTCATTTGTATCAAACAGAAAAGTAATTAAGAAATAAATTTAACGTATATATTAGTTCAGTGAGTGTAATTTTTATTTTATTTTATTTGTATTAGGGTTAGTTTAGCCTAACAAACATTAGTACATTATTCGTATAGAAAATAGTTTTATACTTGCTTTTTACTTAAAGTATAGAACGAAAAGATTTGGGTACGGATACTATGTCTCGTAACCCACTTTTAATAGATCAGCTCCCATTTTATTTAAATGTTTCGACAAAATATTATTGCATGAATAGCACGTCAGAAATCATCAAGTATGTTCCATATATAAAGTAAATGAATTATTCAAATTAATATTCTTCAAAGGTAAATTATTTTCTGGTGTTAAAAATTCTTCAATATTACTTTATTAACGTTCCAAACATTTTTAAAATATAATATTGAAAAATTTTTTTGTTTACACAATTTGAAAACTTTATATAGAAGGTCATTAAATGCTAATAGATAAATCTTTATTAAGCGGTGTGTTACGCGTTTCATTCTGTCCAAATAAGAATGGAAACAAGCAGTTAATTAATTTTATATCAAAGGATTTAAAAAATAGTTATTCTTACCTTCATCGCATCGCTAATTCGTAGACTATCTAAAGCTATAAAACAAAAAAGAAAAAAGGTTATAACACATGGATTTTTTTTAAAAAAATAAAGTTGCATCGTTTACCTGACTTGGGAGTATTTAAAGCGTTTACAGTTTTTAGTAGATCTTTATAATTTAGGAACCTACTAGTGTAGATTGCTTGAGGATGAGTTTGAGTAACTTTAAGCATATTCTCATTTGATTTATTTGATTTGCAATTGAATTTGTCTACTCTAACTCTTACATATTCTTGCATTTGAATATTTATGTCACTATTTGTTTGATGCCTTTCAATGTCTAATTTGTGTAGGGTTTGATATAATTGTTTAGCAGTTGGTCGATTTTCTACCCTAGGATCCCAGCATCTTTTAATTAAATTCGCGAGAGGTTTTGGAGTATCCTCGGAAATTTTTGGTCTCTGTCCTCCACATATTTCAATAGCCAAATAAATATCATGAGATTTATTAGCATAAGGCAATTCTTCTGAAAAATATTCATTCATGATTATTCCAAGTGAATAAATATCTGAAGATTTCGTATATTGATGACCTCTTAAAACTTCAGGGTCAATATAAGGCAATACTCCATAAATTCCTTCTTTAATTGAAGGTTGATTAACTGGTTGACACATCCCCAAATCACTAATGTACGGAGTTATATAGGCCGTTAACAAGATATTACCTGGGTGTAAGTCTTTATGAATCTTTCCCGCGTTATGAATATCATTGAGACCTTTCGCCATGTATGATAAATCATTAATCTTATTCTCATAAGCGATGTTTTCATGTTTACTTATAAACTTGTGCAAACTTCCATTCTCACAATACCTCAAGACCATCATATAATTTTTAGTAATTGGATCCTGAGTTATTCCAAAACATTGAATTACATAGTAAATATAAATCTGTAGATGAGATTTGATCTAATAATAATGAAAGGAAAAAATTTTTTGGTAAATCTTGCTTGACACAAGGATTATTAAGGTGATGATTTTCAAATCCGATTACCTCATTTAAAAACTGTTTGCTTATGTCACGAGAATCCTTTAAACTTTTTAATGCAACCATCTTATCACCATCTCTTTTCCACTTTTGATTTTCAATATCCCAAGATTTAATATTCCCATTAGGCCAATGCGCAGAATAAACATTAGAAAATCCTCCTTTGGTAAGATAAGTAACGCTTTGGAATTTTTCGAATGGTATCCATTCAATACATTTGGAATAATGCACAGCATTAAGCTGCGATGTCTTTATGAATTCATCGATATTTTCATTTCCACTGGACCATTGATCAAAATTTCTTTTAAATCGTTCCGCATTACAAGTCTGACACCAGTGACGACCCGTTCCCGGTCTAAAACATTCCCCGCATAGTCCATACACGTCCTTTCTTGTTCTCAAGTCTTCTATGAATATTTTCTTTCGTATATCAGTCTCATTGGTATCATCTATCCTATCAGATGAACCATTAGGAGAGATTGTAACATGTTCCTTTCAAATCATTAAAAAAAAAGGAGATTAAAATCAAAGTAATTCATTTGAAAACCTAAAATGGTAATTAAATACCGTAAATTTATATTTTTACCTGATAATCGTAAGTCAGCCCTTTCCATAAATCCTTGGCGTCATTATTTATCGCATTAGGATGATTGACGCTTGTAATGCCGTCTAAAAAGAAAATTTTAGATAAAAGGACTATTCTGAATATGTCTTGAATACGATTTATAAAGAATGACAACATAGCACTGTTCAACAACAATGAGCAAAATTCAGAGACCTTTTATCGGAAATTGAATCGGAGTTCGGAAATTTGAAATATGTCCATAAATGGAATCATGCGTTCTTGTAAAACAAAAGAAGAGTCCACCTAAAAAAAAAAAATTTTGTAAATTTCTGCGGTTGTAACTGTAAAAGGTTGGGGCGCAGCGTCATAAATAATTTGGTGATCATGAACGTTTTTTACTTTGAATAAACTGAATGGGTATAAAAAGGTGACGTATCACGAGCGTATTCGTATAGATCTTATCAATCTATCTTGAAACAAAGGATTCTATTGATTAAGAATTACTATAAATCAATTCCTAAAGTTGAAAGCATTGAAAGGATGAGCCCTTAAAAAGGAAATCAATACAGTAAAGGTAACTGTCACCATTAGTAATTACAATCTGTCAATGGAATTACTTTTTAATAATTTTATCAATGGGAATTCCCTAAAAAAAAAATAACCTTTATCAATTGATCAGCACGTTGAAATAATGTTTTTTATTTCCAAAAAATATTTCTACGTTGCTTTGCAAACTTTACAATTTTTAACTTTGTTAATTTACACATTTTTTTGTGGACGCTATATATTATTATCAATTCAATGCAAATAAAATCTATTCCGTTTCCGAAAAAAATTATATACAAATATATATATATTTGTCATGACTTGTGATCGATAGATCGTCGTCAACTAATATCCAACTTTCCAAATTTGTCGTTGCCGAAATTTTGAACGCGTCTTACTCAAAATTCTTTGTGATGTGAACAAGGAATTATTGCTATTTCCATTCTAGTTACGAGCTTTGACCTACCGTTCGTTTCCCTCATATATTCATTCTCTAGACAAATATTGCTATGGCCTCATTCATTGCTGTAGCGTAAAGATAGGGCCTCTTTTTTGAAAAGTTTAAATTGAACTCTTTTCTTAATTGCTAGATTTTCTTTTACGACGTTTCAACGAATGATACCATTAAAAAAATTTTTTTTTGCAAGAAATCTTTTTTTGATGGATATTAATATTGCATCTATCATAATTAAAACGTAAAAATTCTGTAATGAAAGTTTTATTCTGTCAACATAATATACATACTCGAATCCTTTTGAGATAACCATTTTTACTAATGGAAAATCCGATCATTAGCATTTGACACTTGATTTGAACAATCAAAATAATTTATTTGATCGTTCATAGATGGTCGATTCACCACACCGATAATCTAAAAAGTATATTTACCGTATATAACCCTCATTGTTCTCTGCATATGTCGTATTTAGGAGCAATCAGATATAATAAGTTCATACCAATTTTTGTGAGCCTCTAATAGATCCATCTAAAATAGCCGAAAATTCAGTGTAAGCATTTACACAATTTCATTTTGTAGATCATTAAAATTAATTACAGTCGACCCTCTCTACTGTCACACCCCTCGGGACCAAAGACTATAGTGAAAAGTGACTATAGTATTACTAAGTATTAGTTCCAAAATGATGTGACTATAATAACATTGTGATTTTTTTTATATAGTGTTAATAGGAACTGGTTTTTATGAAAGGTGTGCTTATAACGGAGGATTTATATGATGTGATTGTATAGGGGGTGACTGTAGAGGGGGTCGACTGTATACCAATATACGGAAGTATGTATTAATGAAATTTTTTATAAATTTATAAAGATAACTACTTTCTAAATATTTTTATCTATTTAACCTCATAATCTATTCCATTAAATCTCATATTTTTATAAACTTGATTTCTTTAAAAATGTAAAAATTATCATAAAACAGGATTTATATTGTGATTATCATAATCGTCACAATAAAAAAAAAAAAATTTACATGAAATACAAAAAAAAAATGCTAAAATTAATATATTATAACATAGACAATCAAGTAAAAAATAATTATATATAACTTTTATTAAATATAACAATAAATTATCTAATAAATTGATACAAAAATAAATACCTTGCAAATTTATATTAAAAAAAAAAATAAACCAGAAACACCAATGATTATTTGTTAATTCAATATTTATTCTTTTACAAATTGGTCTATCATATGCATTATAAAGAGCATGTATCAATTCCAGAAGAAATCAGCCCAGTTTCATCCATGTGAAAAGATGAGATAATTGCTGACTTACCTGTCTTACCTCACATATCAGAAATTGAGGCACTAGATGGTATTAGTAATTTATGGTATTTTCATCTTAAGGATGTAACTGAGCTGAAGGTGCACTAAAGTAAAGCACTTAAATGGATTATATTTCTAAGTACTCTTAGCAGGATGTGGCAATTTCAACTAACAATACTTAGCCATTAAGACGCTTCACATAATATTATTTACATATTTTTTCTTGTGTAATAATTATACATGAAGTCGAAATGGATCATTTCGGATATCCGAAATGGTCGAAATGGTCGAAATCATTTCGACCATTG